CACGGAACTCCAGACATGGGCTGCGCCCTCGCATCATCACAGAGCGCATTTCGTCTGACCGATCCCGCTCTCCCACTCGAATTCGAACCCGACCTTTGGACACTTCATCCACCTGGTATATACCGGCCTTATCTCCGCCTCGTGCGGCACATCGGGATGCCGCTGACAACAATTCTGGTCGTCGGCCTGAATCGATGTTGGATCACCTGCCACCACCTCGGCCGCTTGCTCCCTTAGCCCCACACGGCGGACCAGAACCAGGACAGATGACGCCTACGACACCTGACTCGGATTCTGATGGCTCAGTGCGTCCACATCCAGGTGCCTCGTCGTTCCGACCGTCTCCTACGGTGGTTCATGGACCTCGGGAACTTCTACAAGAATTCACCATTGCACTTCGCAATGCACACCGTGAACCTTTCACGGCATGGACACAGGGTGAGCTGGATGAGATGGTGCGACGGAAGAAAGACAAGGATTCCAGGCCCACCTACAAAACCATTGCTCGGTTCCTTCAGAAGCCCATTGAGGAAGTCAAGCAGGCATGGAAGGTCTATCAGCAACTTGAGGCTCGCGGCTAGGAACCCGGTCATCAAATGCAACAGCGACCACCGGAGGACTAAATGGTAGGCCGTGGCGGCGTATTCGGCTAGCGTTGCAGGTTGTTGCGACGGTTGGGATTGTAGTCACTATTGATCACATGCAATTTGCTTGCTTGCGCTTGACTGGCATTTTACCAGGGTAATATTGCTTGCCGTTGTGGGTGTCGCTGCTGCCGTGAATTGAATGCATGACTGAGTTGCTCAAATCATGTCGGAACAAGTCGTACAGACGTACATTACTTGGACCCATGGAGCGCAGCCGACGTGGTTACAATTTCACGGACCTGGAGCCCTGCTTGACAGACCCATTCGGCAGACTACGTCACCTCCGCCCCCACCAAGTTTCCCACTGCTTCTTCCACCTCCGCCTCCTCCACCGCCACCACCACCGGTGATTCTACACCCACAGTTTATGCCCTCAGTACGGAGCCCCTCGATCTCAGCTCCTCGCGGACAATCCTGCCCTGCCACATCGAAATCGCAGCGCACACGCCGCTCGATCTACAGCACTGACCATTCCCGTGATGAAGAGCTACGCAGTCCAGGGCGTTCATCCAAACGATCTCGGACAGCATCCGCTTCGGCACCGCGGAGATCTCGGCGGCCCTTTACCGTGTTCCCCTCCAAACGTGCTGGCCGTCCATCGCTGTCCCCATCGGCAAATTGCAAGCATTACTGTCAAGCCTTCCTGCGCCATGGGCGGAAATGTCTTTCCCCTTGTGATCGTAGACGACCAGGACATTATCATTGCAGGTGTGCGCGGCATCAACGGCGGTGAAGCTTAGGCGTCGTATATTACAAACCTCGCTGCTGTGTCTCACCTTGAGTTTGAAAAGTTGCCTTGCATCCCTTCAGCTGCGCGCGGTTGTCATTGCATGTGTGTCTTCACCGCAGATTTTCGATTGCTTTTAGCGGCCGCGCGAGAGCCTGTCTTGCCGCTATGAACCCTCAATATTTCGAGTACCAGATCGACAGAGGAGTGGAATGGATTCGAATTTACTCACCGGGCACGTGGCGACCCGTTCCCGATGATGCTCCAGTGCTCGACCCGGTCTACGCTTCCACGTATCGGGAGTGGCGCAGGTCATATCGCTTCCAAGTGTACTGGTCCGAAGACAGCACCGGAGGAACAACAACGGATCCCATTGTCACGCCCAGTTCGTATGTGTCCTACCACGTGTGGGAGTACCGAGACTGGCAAACACAAGGGTATCAACGACTTCGAGCTCCTTTACCAGCCATTGGACTCGCGATGCTCGTGAATGCAGACGCCAATTCCTCGGTGGGCTCATCGGTTCCGGATGGGGCGTGGCGAGAGCCGTCACCACCACCATTCTATGATCCTTGGAACGATTCGGAGTGATACTTGAGCAACATGTCGGATAAAATGACGCGGTTGTGCTTGCTTTGTATGCGATTCCATGTTGGGTTGTCTTGCTTGGTGTTGTGCGTTCCGTCTCCATGTGTTCGCCGCTTTCCTTTATGACTTCGAGCGGCTTGCCTGGTTGATATGTTCAATTCTACAATGTATGGCGCTGCAAGATGGGCCCTGCCACACTACTTTGACTACGACATCGTCAATGGCCCCGCGAACACAAGCGTTGAGTGGATTCGGATCTATGTACCGGGTCCGTGGCATCCAGTCGCCGAAAACACCTTGGGGCCTGCCCCGGAGGACTCAACCAGACTCAACCACCTATCGGGAGTGGCGCAAAGTATACCACTTCGAAGTGTATTGGCCGAGGGAGAGCACGGGCGGCACCAATATGGGTGCTGTTTCTCAGCCGGTCTCTTATGCATCCTTCTATACTTGGCATTATCGGGACTGGGCCACCAGAGGATATCAACGGCTGGGTCGTCCACACCCTAGCATTGCGCGTCCAGTTTTCGCTTCGGGCTCACCGGACCTCATGTACGCTGGACTGACCTCTTCGTCGGCATCTTCAAACTCAGATGGTGGCTGATGCTCGTCCTCGTCTTCCTGGGGAGTCTATTCAATTCAATTCGATTCAGGAGATGGACTTCAACGCCTGAGCTGTGCATTGCTGCAAAAGTGATTGCTTGCGTGGTTGTTGTTGTGTCTCTTGCAGTAATTGTTGTCTGCAGCCGTACACCTATCAATTTGTCTTTCCGGGTTTGCGTTGTCATGCCGTGGCTGGAATGGTGTCCGGATCCTCAACAACCAGATGCCCAGTGGGTCAAGATCTTTCATCCGGGATCATGGACTCCACATGAAGAACATGATGCTCCACCTCCACCGCACACGTATAGAGAGTGGAGGGAGTTCTATGCTCCCAACCCGGACCAAGACGGTGAGCAGCTCAATGTCACCATGTGGTACAAAAGAGACTGGGCCACAGAGGGCTATCGGAGAGTCGCTGCCCCTCAAGCTGGTCATGACTTTGATTCTATGTCTTTTCCTGATCATCACAGCGTGGCCACGCAATCCGCGGCATTGAGTATGTCACCGCAGATGTTAGAAGCGATCCTTAGATCCTCGGATGCGGCGGATTTCTCTACCGAAGAACTGACTCGTCTCCAAGAGGGGATTTCTCAACAACTGACAGCTCGCGCACGTCACGCTTCCCAACTTCATCAACCTGTTCGTGCATCACGTGGAATCACACCATCGGAGACGGTTGGGGTCTCCGAACCATACCGGCCTGTTAATCCTTCCGACAGCTGCAAAGCCAAGGCGAGACCTATCTTCGAGCTAAATGAGGACTAGACGCACGCGAGTGGGGTAGCGTACAAAATAAGGGTGGTTTTCACACTTGCATTACCTTGCTTGGTTGTTGCTTGTACATGGTTGTGCATGGTGCCTGTTCCTCTATCAGCTGGATCGGAGCCCGCGATACGCCTTGCCTCTTACTTCGACATGGACATCGAGGATTCGAAGCAGCACCCATGGCTCGAATACTCGGTCTGGCAGGATCAGGAGTGGGTGCGGATCTACACTGCAGGACAGCCTCAGCGATGGCACCACGGAGAAACTGTACCTGATCTACCAGACAATTCTTTTCGGGAATGGCAGCGGGTGACTGATCCCAATGGGCGCACTGGTGAGCACGGTCAGGCATGGACCATCCGCGACTGGCAGCATCAGGGATACCAGCGCATTCTGTCTCGAATGGAGTCCTTCACAACTCATCATTCGCATGATCAATCTCTTGGTGAAGTTCGGAATTCCGATGCCATTCCAGTTGAGGAGACGTTCACCTATGCTACTCCGTTTTCTCATGGTGATCGCTCGACTGCTTCACAACTCGCTTCAGTCCTCTATGGCGACACTCGTAATGCTCAACGTGGTGATCTCTCGTTCCCGTCTTCTGAGCGGTTTAGGGCTGTTTCTCGTTCCCCTCGCCGCGGTGGATTTTTTGGTCAACGATAGGGACACGGGGTTGAGCATGTGATCTTCCTGCGGAAAAGGAGACTCCTCGCCCCTCATTGAGGGGCGTGTGTGTGCGGAGTGACAGAATGCCCTGTCACCACCCTTTCGGTTTCTCAGCAGGGGGCCAGCGGCCATCAAGCAAACGCTGGCCAACGAAGCTATGCTTGATGGTGGATGCACGGATTGATCACCCGTGTGTACCTGCATTTGCGTGATGTTGATGAAAGTCCTTTTGGCCCTCTTTTGCGCTCGCTGTGTGTGCTTCATGTTGGAACTGGTAACGTTTTCGACACTAGAGTGAAACCGAGTGCATTGCGAGCCGAACCCACACCCACTCGAGACTCATCAGTTGTACTCGAGACTCATCAGTTGTACTCGAAAGATTAGCACTCTCCATCTGGAGTTTAAGTGTGTGTGTGTGTGTGTGTGTGTGTGTGTGTGTGTGTGTGTGTGTGTGTGTGTGTGTGTGTGTGTGTGTGTGTGTGTGTGTGTGTGTGTGTGTGTGTGTGTGTGTGTGTGTGTGTGTGTGTGTGTGTGTGTGTGTGTGTGTGTGTGTGTGTGTGTGTGTGTGTGTGTGTGTGTGTGTGTGTGTGTGTGTGTGTGTGTGTGTGTGTGTGTGTGTGTTTGTGTGTGTGTGTGTGTGTGTGTGTGTGTGTGTGTGTGTGTGTGTGTGTGTGTGTGTGTGTGTGTGTGTGTGTGTGTGTGTGTGTGTGTGTGTGTGTGTGTGTGTGTGTGTGTGTGTGTGTGTGTGTGTGTGTGGTGTGTGTGTGTGTGTGTGTGTGTGTGTGTGTGTGTGTGTGTGTGTGTGTGTGTGTGTGTGTGTGTGTGTGTGTGCGTGTGTTGTGTGTGTGTGTGTGTGTGTGTGTGTGTGTGTGTGTGTGTGTGTGTGTGTTGTGTGTGTGTGTGTGTGTGTTTGTGTGTGTGTGTGTTTGTGTGTTTGTTTGTGTGTGCTTGTGGATTAACTGTTGAGGGATGGTGATATAAGGGCTTCCTCTTGGTCTTGCGAGGCAAGAGCATACTCTGACTTGAGTGAAATTGCTGCGTTCTACGACATCGCCTCTTCAGTGCACAACAAGGCCACCGCATGCGTTTAGCGCTTGCTGTTGTCGGCAGTTTTGCAGCTTTTGGCAGACCTCCATCCCGAGGACTTGCCAGCAGAACGAGCCCTGGTTCGAATTCGTGAGAATGAATTGCATGAGGCTTGGTGAATCCAGCAGTAGCTTGACATGGCAGACATGCCACGCACTTGCATGGCAGACCTTCAACCCACTGGATGCTGACGGAGATGCGGACTATCAAGCGCTCATGTTCTTTCCGGACAAGTGCTGCTATGTACAGTTCCACTGGCTCTCATTGCTTTGGGACTTGGGCTCTGACATTTGGGTTTGTGACCACGCGACAAAGCCCGGCTTGTGACAGGTCGCTGGAAGGGATTTCACCCTGCAGAGAGGCCTCCCACTTGCATTCAACAACTGCATTGACGGCGTTCTTTTATGGTCAGGCTATGGCTCCCGGCCACGTCACACACGCTAGCCTTTACCTGTGCTTTGCAAAAGCCTCAGTCAAAGCGTGACTGACAAATGCACTTGCGGCAAGCTAGTGCCTTCAGGACAAGCATCCAGCTCCGGGTCCTGCACACTCTGAGCAGCTTCAGCGCCTGGAAGTTACGACGCTTGGGTCCAGTGGGCATCCGTTTGCCTTCGACTTGTACCGTACACTTTGCGTGGGAGTCGAAGGTGTGGCAGTGTGCACAGTTCATTCGCTGAGGACTTCCACTGTGCGCTTCGTTGAAGCTGTTAGGCGCCGTTGGGATATGCACGGCATCGCATGTGGGTAATATGTACACTTACCACGTAGTGCGGCGGGGTACTCGTTGCAGGCAAACGATGCAACTCATGCACTTGCTGTCGTTTGTCTGACCAGATGAGGAGTTCAGAGCACCATCGATCACTGCAAAAAGCAGCGATTGTATTTGACTACCAATGATGTTTCACTGGACTTACCCGCAAAATGGTTGCAAGCAATCAAGACGAACCGTTGAATCGTGCAGTGGCATGATGTTGGAGTTTGCGCGTGGCAATGCTTGCAAAATCAAACTTGACAACCCTGCCCTGCTCAAAACAGCTGACCTGTTTGGTCATAGAGGAATTCATTTTGCCATGGCAGATTCGGACCCCGACGAAAAAGCAAAACCAGAAGTCCTGCTCCTCAGTGGCAGGAAGCAACTGCAGGCTGATTGTCAAACTTGGCTGAGGCTCAAGCACAAGAGCAAGAGGATGACGATGGGTCACAGCCTCGAACATTTTGGAAGATGGGCTCGGTGGTTGGTGCTTTAAGGATGCACTCTTGGCGGCAGAATAGAGGTAAAGGTCAGGCGGCAATTGAGATGGCTGAAACAGCAAGGGACCAAGAAATAGTTGCACGGATATGAGACTTGTGTTGTTCTTGTATGTCATTGGTCCCCAAAACCCAAGCAAGACTGGCATGTCTCAGATTTCTGGAAGCATTTGCTGTGTCAGGGCCGGTGGAGGCAACATCAAAGGCGAGTGCGGCATGTACCGCATGTACGGCATGTCATGCACAATGCTGAATCTCGAGAGTTGCCGTTCTCGTGGCAGGGCGAGGTCTCCGAGCCTTCCAGTCCGAGAAGGATGAGGAGACATGTTCGGCCTTTTGTTGCTCGCATTTGCCCAAGCTCTTTCGCAGGAGCCTGCCAGCACCAAGGCCGAAGCTGAGGCAGTTTCTTCACTCCCATGTTGGGAGTGTCATGAGCACAAGTTGCAGATTGTGGAGCTTGGCTAGAATGCTTCTTTACCCTTGGAATTGGTTCCTCGAACAGGAGGCCCCGGCAGCCAAAACAAAGGCTGAGGATGAGGCCTACCCGATTCAGCAGAAGCTTTCATTCGTCGCATACTATGCTTCGCACATCACGTTTTCAGGCACCAGTAAAGAAGAAGGAAGATGAGGTGCGCACCTCACCTGAGTCTCAAACAACATGCACTGCCAATTTGAGGTTGAAGCACCGCCTGCCAAAAAGGCACGTGGCCAACCGGCAGAGGACCAGCCCTGAGAGGGATGCTTAAGAGAGAATCATCTCGTGCGCAGCATGCAGATTGGCGAAACGGCAACTGGAAGCATCTGGCGTTCAAGGGTACATGTCTTGGCCCGAGGCAAACCCAACTGTTCGTCTCATTTCGTGGGGATGCACAATTGGTTGAAATTGCCTTTGCAATTTTCAACAAAGAGGCACTGTTTTAACGATGGCTAGCTGTGCTAGAGGGAGTTCTCTAAGCTTCAACTTCTTTTAGGGGCTGAGCTTCCCACAATGCCTGATTTAAGCAGGGTTTGGGAGCTCCAGATCTTTACTTGGGCCTACCCTCGAAGTGTTCGATTCCTGCCTGGCCCGCTCCCCCCCCAGCATATTCCCATCTTCATCATAGTCTCGTCCACATGTTGTTTGTAGCTAGGGATTCTTTCTCATTAGAACCTGGTCCAAATTTGGGTCTTAATGACTTTCTGGATGTGTCTCTAAGTTTGCTATTCTTGATATCTGGAAACCGCTGGGTCGTACACGTCATTAGCTTTCGTTCACCCGCCTCTCAAGTCTTGCAACAACAAGGCTGATGAAATACCTGAAATTCCTCATTGAGCTTGTCTCGTTGCCCGACTTGTTGGACCCGTGATCTAGAGGGTCTGCAGGCCGCTACAGGCAAAAGCAAGCTCAGACGGCATGACGAGTTTTTTCCTCGTGGGTGTTTAATGCGCCCCACACAAAGCATGGAGCCTCCAGGTCAAGCTCAATCCTCCTTCAAAGCCGATCTCAAGATGGTCAGACAGCGCGTCCCCTGGGCGAGCAATCGCTGCCAATCAGCTCCTGCCTCATTACTTGCTCAGGACTAAGCTTCGAGGAGCAGCTGGAAGACTTCATGAAAATGAAACGACGGGGCATGCCCGATCCCAAAAGGAAAAGTGAGAAAGAGAGCGAGAGAGAGAGAGAGAGAGCGCGCGAGAGTGGCAAGTTCTTCAATGTTCTCATGGTTGCCTGGGCACAGCCATCAAGCAAAATGCTTGGAGCAAGTTGGGATCAATGCCACGCATACATATTATATAGAATTATAAAAGGAGGTCGAGCTGCTGTGAAAATGAGGCGGGTGAAGAAACTTTAGAGAGCAAGCACGAACTTCGGACAGCAACATTCAGCAAACAGTAGTACACAGTTCAGAAAAAAGCAAACAAAGAGGAGTTTCGAAATTCAAAATGCCAGCTCAGGACAGTCGGGTTGGTGGCATGGTCGGGATGGAGACATGACGGTTGGGATGGAGACATGGTCGAAGTACTTGGGATAGTCGGGACGACGGTCGGACGGTCGGGATGGTCAGGACGATGGCCAGTCGGCGCGGTCCGGGGGGGTGGCACGGTCTTGAGAAGAAAAGTTGGAACAGGTAGCAGGCATGGGGCCGGAAGAATCCTCTTTCTGTGCTATTCCTGGTTACGTAGTCCTTACAAGTCTCTTGACGTTCCCAGCCATAGCCCGGTCCAGTGACCTGCTTCTTACCGTCACCGGCTTGCGCTGAACAGTTTCGTTGTCACTTTCGATCTGGAGCTGCAGAGGTGTGCTTTGCGTGCTGCGCTTGTGCTGGACGGTGGCAACTTTCGAGCTGGAGCTGTGGAAGCGTCAAGCAATGTTTTCCCGCTGCATACCTACGCAACAAGGGCGCTGGCGACATACGTCCGTAACAAGATTCGTGCCGCACTACATACCCTTCAAGAAGTCAGACCCAAATTCCGCTTGTTGAGCTGGAGGCTTGGCGTACCACACTTGTACTGACAAGGTGTGATGTGCAAGCTCGACAGTGAAGAACCACAAAGAGCTTCACGGCATAGCGGAGGACAAACACACGCAATCCATACATATAGAGACATATTCAACATATGTATATATTTATGCAGAAGATACATATATCTTCGCGGTTTTAAAGATGCGGGGCATCTGGATTGGCGTTGAATGGTGGGACCATGAGGAAGTGGTTGCCATTCAGGGGCCCCACTTATTATTGGGAAGCAATCGATTCCTCATGAGCAAGACACCCGCCCCGTCCAGCGAAAAGAATGACAGGCAGCAAGAGTACTTTTGGCGATGTATGGGGATGATGGCAAAAAGTATACTTATTCGATGCGTGTCATATATGGGTTCAGGAAACCACTTCACTGCTGGAGCTCCGTTTCCAATCTTCTTGGGTTCGGTTCGATGCGGTGCCGGTTGTACAGAGATTGGACCGTTCTCAATCAGTGTCCTTGCTCACCTATCCTGGCGCAAGAGCCGCACACATCTATTGCGGAAGAGCCCCTTTTTGCCTATTTACCGCTGTCCCATGACTCTGTCAAGCATTGACCTCATTCAATCAGCCCACAACTCTGTGGACTTGATTGTACTCGGGTTTCAGATTGCTCCATTCATTAGCAACTTCGCTCAGTGCGAACTCGCGACAATTAGCCGATCGTCCTGCTGCAGTGCCTGCAAAGGTATAATCGCTACCTGGTTCTTGGCAAATTGCCGCCAGAGTTGCGCACAGGCCAGAACGCGTGAGATCCTTTGTCTTCATTTCGTGTGTTCGCAATGCAGGGGAGAACATTTGGCGACTCATGCAGCCAGTGCAGAAGGACATTGTCCAGGCACAGTGTTTGGAGCCTACTGTGCTTGCAAAAACATGGTCAGGGGAGTCAGGTGCATAGCTGTCAAGTATTGGGAATTGTTTGGTTAGCTCCTTTTCTTGAAGCATGGCAGTCAGGGCAGATACTTTCGAAATTAATCTTTTCTTTTTAGTTTGGGTGCTTGCATGATCCTGTATGCAGACCATGACCATGTACATATCCCCAAGCCTGTGAAATTCCTATCATGGCTTGATGCAACACGTCTGCACAGCCGATAGTGCATTCCGGAGCATGATCCACGCCCACAGCAAAGCAGTCCCATGTGGTTTAGCGCTGGTTTGGGCAAATTGGTATTAACAAGTTTCTCAGAACTGAGCACTGTTGGAATCATAAAATGCTCTGTGCGATTGGCCATGTCCTGTAAAGCTTAGTTTCTGCAACCATGATTGTGATGATGTTTGTCTAGTGAATCGCCTGCAACTAGCCATATTGCGCATTGATGATTGCCATCTTGGTTGCTGGCTTGTACGGCCAGGTGGAAATGCTGACTTGCTTCGGCAAGCCGGTGGCGCATGTGACGCTGCGCAGCGCCACTGCAGCTGCAGCGATGCATCGCTTGTGCGAGCAGCTTGGGCCTAAGCCACGATTGCGGCTGTTCCCAGTCGAGCGCGCCCAGCTTGGGCGAGAGTTGCGCATTGATGCACCGCCAGGCACCACAAGAATCTCACAGTCGCCTTCGCGCCTCCCCGAAAGGCCTCATCGACAATTGGAAGACATGTTCATGCTACTTTGCACTGTGAGGCCACACCGACATTGTGGCTGGGCAACGTAGATGACTATGTCCCACGCAAATCATTGGAGAGCCTGTTGGCAACGTGCGCTGTTCAGAGCGTGCAAAGTTGAAGCACGCGTGGCAGCATGCCAAGATATGAGTCTGACTAAACAGAGCATGATAGGCATTTTATCCGTCTGAGCTGCTACATGCCTGTGACGGATTCAAGTTTGGCACTTGCTCATGTATCCTTGAAAGGTACGGCAAGGTTCTCCACGGCCTTCGGTATTTGCCAGCTCGTACCTGCGCCTTTGCCACGTATGCAGAGGCTGGAACCGCAGCTGCGTTGCTACCCTTCAGCCATTGACCTCAGCAAAAGTAGGCATACACATTGGGAAAGAAGCAAAAACAGCTTACACTCGCGTGCCCGCGCACATGCACACGCGCACGAGATCTTCAATATACCGATCGCAGCCATGGAACCAATGCTCTCACTCTCGTTGCCAGGTGTCGAGCGCGATTAGCGCCAGAAATAGCATGTACGGGCTGGAAGTTCAAAAGAACCAGCTGCTCGGACAGACAATGTGCTTTTGTCTTGGTATTTCTTCATCCGACACATCCGACCTTTCACAGCTGTCAGCTGTTTGAGCTGCACTGACTTGATTCTCATGTTGTGTCATCCAGGTATTTGAACATCGACTTTGTCGATGATGTAGATAGTCAAGCAGCCCCGCCAGATGTGAGGAAGCCCAGATGGCAGCTTGAAGGCTTGAATGAAGCATGAAAAATGCATGTCGTCCAAGGCGTTCGGCATGTGGGGAGCTGCGCCGGCACCGTGGGCGCCGCCGCCCTGGGGCATGCCTGGCATGCCGTGCGAAGCTCAGTTGGACACAAAGCCCCTCAATGCTTCCAGGATGTGCTTTCATTATTTTCAGTGTTTTTGTTGCTCTTCGTTTCTGCTTTGAGCAATCAGCCTTGCATCCATCCATTTGGTCCATACCTGTTTAAGGCCTTGGGGTCCACGCCCCCCATGGGCACCGTGCGGCTCTCACACATTTCCCCACGCTTCCAATTTCCCCGCTGCGGTTGGCAGCTGTTTCCCATTGTGCGAGGCCTCCAGGCATCGCTGGGCCCTGGGGCATGCCGCCTCCAATGGCCGGCGGACCATGGCGTCCTGAGCTTAGATGGTTGTGGTTGTGGTTGTGGTTGTGGCGGTGGTGGTGGGGGGTAAGTTGGCAGTTGTTTGGTTCGGGTCATCCGCTTTTGCTTCCAGCACTAAGGTCCTCCACGGGTGCAGCTGACATTGTTGCAGCACAGTGATCATGGCCTTGCTGGGGCATTTGGTAGATCTCCGGACTAGTGGCTCTTTTGTTGCGGCCATCGCTTTGCCACCGCCAGGATGGTGACCATTGGAGGAACTCCGAGCCTTGGGGTGCATGGCTCCAAGATGGGCTTTTGCCACCTCTGCTCTCATGGACAGTTTGCTTCTGTGGTCATTTCATATAGTCTTGAGACGTCAGGCCGTGCCTGGCGCCCGCCTAGTGGAGTGTGGAACTTGGAAGAACTCAGAACCCTTTGCCATAGGCGAGGTCTCCAGAAACGCATTGGCCCCTCAGGCGCTCGAAGAAGGGCCGCGCGCGGCAAGAGTCAGCTTCAAGCCCGAGGGAGGCCAAGGGCAATCGACGCGAACAGCTTATGGGCAGCGTGATATGGCAGGCCTCAGCTGACCAGCCGCGTAAGAAGAAAGACAAAGAGGGTGCCGACCTTGGAGGATGTGGACGCTTTGGGTTGTCCAAAAGTCGATCCCTAAATTCCTCGCGGCATTGAACACGCTGTCAGCATTTCAGAGGTGCACTGACGCAAATTGCAACGCTAGAGACCGATGTTTTTATTGCTTTTTCTTCGCCCATGTGCACCCCGGGGCCGGCAACACCTCGCAACTTCCAAGTCATTGACAAGCCGCATGCAGGGCAGTTTGCAGAGTCAACAATGTCTGTGAAACGATGACGATGTGGGCTTATGGGCTTACGCAGTATGTAACATGCACTTGCTTGAGCAGCAACGGTTCCAGCTTCCGTGCCTGAAAGGCATCAACTCAATTTGAATCCATGGAAAGGGTGACCTGAAGGCCATCCTAAAGCGGCGATAGGCCGACATCCTTCAAGCTTCAGGTTGTGGCAAAGAATGAATTGAATGAAGCACAGTTTCCTTAGATCCCGGCGGCATTTTGAGACCTGTTTGAGGTGCCAAAGCTGCAGAGCACCACACTTAGAATCCTGCAAGCCATGGAGGCCGATAGCTTCACAGACTCAGGCCAGACGCCAGGGGTGCAAAGGCACGGGCCTTGATGAGCTGATTTGTTTATCAACTTGTCAAAAGCTTGCTTGTTTGCTGGTCTCTGCCTGTCACTGCTTGTCAGTCCAAAGTGAAGCTCTACAAGATGGGAGAGTTTTGCTGCAATATCGTGGCCAACTTTGTCAAAGGCTTGCTTGAGACTGACATGTCGTGCTAAGAGTATTGCAAGGCCATTGTACCATGAAGAAACGGGTCATTGGCGGACAATGCATCTTGACCGTGTTTTTTTTTCAACTACACATTCTGATCCACGGTCACTATTCACGATCATCTACACATGGGCGCGGGGCATTTGCTGCATATTCATTCAATGACCAACAGACAATGGAGCGCTCAATGGGTCATGGGTTGCCAGGCAAGGAGTCTCCGGAGTCCTTGACAAACAAGCTGCAAATTGATCAGCGAACAAAGGCAGGGCCTGAGTGATGCCAGGAAAACGTCACTTTTTGTGATTGTCCACGGATATCTTGAAGAATTGACTTGTGCAGATTGACCATTGCCGAGCTCACATGGAAAGAGCTGGGCCACTGGCGACTGTATGGCACTTTTCCGCAGCGGACAGGCCGTTCGGCAATGTGCATGATTAGAGTGTCTGCAAACACCGGATACATGATTCCAAGACAGCTTACCTTGCCGCAGGCGTGATTGCGCTGCGTAGAAAGCTTACCTGTCTGCCGCAATGCTTTGGGACTTACTTCAGGTGTCCAAGGGAACAGTTGTATTCGCAAGGTATGACGCACTGTGTGATTACTTCGTGGAGAAGCAACGCGTAGGCTTGCTTCTGTGCATCATTTTGCGTTCATGTGCGTGATGCACAGGGCTGGTGCAGACGCCCAGCTACTACATCTACATAGTCCCACCCACTGAGAAGCCCGGGCCCCAAGGATCAGACTTTGACCCTTTGACTTTACGCAACGCTTGCCCCGTGGGCTGCGAACTCGGCTCAGGTATTTGAAGGAGCTTAGCCTGCCAGCTTCAAACTTTGTGGTGGGATTGCAGATCCCGATCAAGAAGTAACGTGTGCTATCTTAGCTGGGCAAGTAGCTTATGGCTCCGCATTGCTCAAGCAAAACCTGCGTGCACGCTGCTTGATGTTGTGCATGTCAGACTGTGGCTTTAAGATCACAGGGGATTGCCTTGGGCTTGTCATCTCTGCCCCTTGCACGTCTAGCCTGGCTCAATCTACCTGCTTCTGCATTCACTGTTCACAGCTCGCCTGAACTGACCGGTTTGCAAAGTGAAGCTACTCAATGTTGTACCCGTGGGCTTGGATGCGAGTACATGAATGGCATGTATCACTTATAGCTCCAGACGAAGTGTGCCCCTTTCGAGAAATGGCCTCCCAAAATAGCCTTGCCAATGGCTGCTTTGCCGCCCTGGAAGAAAGTTCTGCCTTTCCGGCTCATTGTTTTGTAGCTGCACAATCAGCAACATGTAACTCAAGCAGGCAAGTATGGGGCAGTGACGGACGCGGCATGGAGTCCAGAGAACCGCCAGGTACCTGAAGCAGCCTTACGAAGACAACTATGTGGATGAATCCTTTCTGGACTCCTTGGTACTCAACGCAAACGTGCAGCGCTATGAGCCACAATCTTACGGAGTCGATGACCTTCACGGGTGTGTATAATTTGTTTGTTGTTTGGCGGCCGCATGGCCCCCTTTTTGCAGGTTTTGGTCACTATGCTCGGGGACGCTAGCCATTCTTTGGCAGCTCAGTTTGGTAGTTGTGTTTGTAAGCGCGCTTGCCTCAGCTGACAGCAGCACAATGTTTGTTGTGTAGCAAGGGTGGCAGTCTCACGCTGCAGCTGCTGTCGGGATTGATGTCTCATCCCGAAGGTGTGGTGGAGAGTTCAGCAGCTGACATGGAACCTCAACTGGCTTCTTGCACTCGATGGATTGCTTTTCGGCTGCTTTGTTTGTGGTGCGCAGCTCGGCAACTGCGGCATGGTCACGTTTGTGCAAGGGTTGATGTCTTTTCAGGCTGGAGGAGGGACAAAGCAGAGGCCTGTTCATGGGGATGTGTGTTGCACGCCAACAGAGCATGATCAGCAACAGAAGTCGTGCCATGTTGAATGATGCTTTGCATAAGGACAGGAACAGCCGTCAACTGTAGCTGCGCGTGGAGGGACTCACTTGGCCTTGGCTGCAAACGCAAGTTGTACCAGTACTACCCAACTCTACACATGCACACATGTCCAGAGCTAAACCTTGTCCTTCCAGGTGCTGATCTCTGGGCGCGGTGACATGCGGTTGAACATCACACGCAAAGAGGTGTGCGAATCATTGGCGAGAAAGACTCCTCCCTTTTGCCTTCTCCTGTGAACTCTGTGTTCTACCCTGACAATCCTGTGAGCCCTGCCACTTCACAAGCCTCAGGTATAGGTCCTATAGGTTGTATGCCTGACTTCGTGATGAAAGACGTTCGTTTTGAAAGACGTTCGTTTTGACCTTTTGAGCATGTTGAGCTTGTCAAAAACATGGCTTGTCATGAAGCCCAAGCCATGCTACCACTATGCACAAGCTTAGCTTGAAAGGGGCTGAAGTTTGCACGTCAGAAAGAACACCATCATGCTAGGACTTGTCAATGACCGCTGCAATAATGTCAGAATGATGCTAGACCAGGCAATGTGAAACAAACAAGAGATGGAAGGGCAACTCAAGTGGATGATGATTTGATGCCTTGCAGTTCAACAGCATGGACAGCTCAAGCACGGTTACCCTCACAGAGTGCACAGTGCAGAACAACTTGTCCAGGGCAGAGCTTCTTGATGAACCTGCCAACCAGGCACCATATAATTGTAAACGCTGCGCGTTGCCCGCCTCGGCCCAGCCGAGCGCGCAGCGTCTGTGGTTCGACTGCAAGCAGCAGAGCTGGTCAAGTGGTGATTCAGGCATGGATAGGTTCTGGCGTCGTTGGACCAATGGATGTCATGGGCCCGCAGGAATCCCTGAGGCAAGGCGATGCAGGACCAGGAGTGAGTCATGGAGCCGCGGGCTGGGCTGCCTTGCTTGGGTTGGTTGGTGAAGGGCCTGGGCTTGTTGCTGGTTGGGCTGGGCCTGCGGCAAGCCTCAGACACTGTAGTCTCAAACATGCGCGTCTAGTTCCAGACATGTCAGGTTCAGACAAGGCCGGGCGTCCCTTGCTTGCGTGGATTGCTGGTTGGGCGAGTTTCAAATATTAGGCAGCCGGACTGCGCTGCTATCCTGGGCTGGGCGGGCTGGGCTGGGCCTTGCTTGGGTGGGTTGCTGGTTGGGCTGGGCAGTGAGGCTAGCCTCAGACAGGCCTGGCCAGCAGGAGGTCTTGCTTTTTGCGACTGCCACGGCTCTGAGCGCATTTGCGACAAAGATGGGGCCGTGGAGCTGGACGCCGACGAGCCCCGAAAATTTCTAGGCGCCGGACAGGATCTTAGGGCAGCAGACATGGGTGGGGGGGTTGGGCCGCATAAATTTTGGGAGGTGGGGAAGGGAAAAACGCAAAGATTCCCTTTGGGCACAGAGATCTGAGAGCCCTTGGCCCCCTTGGGGCCGAGGCGAACACAGTGAACAAGATTGGTGCTGCAGAGCCTGTCTTTGGCCAGCAACTAGTTTTCCCTGCGCTGGCTTTGGTGTATGCGAGATGCTTGCACACGCGCGAAGAGTTCTACTTGCAGACGCTAGAACTGGATCAGGCCCTCTGGGATGTGCTCAATGCCTGCAAGATTGTTTTTCCGCTGTGGGTTCAGAACTTACGAGTTGGAAAGATGCTGTGAAGCGAGCAATGATGCTGCTGCGAGCAATGACCCTGAGTCCAGGTCCTGGCTCCACTGCTTCAGACTCTGACTCGAAGCTGGAGCCGCGGCCTCACACGGAGAGCGATTCAATTCATTTCAATCTGCCGCTTGATTTCCTAGGCGATGATACCATCGCAGTCATCGCTAGCGCTCTCCTTTTCCTACATGTTGCGTCGTACCGCTATCAGGAGAGCAGCTCTCAATCGCTGGCCAAGGTGCTGTTGGCCTCATTCGGGTGTTGTGGTTCCGCTTGCTAGGACGTGGCAGATCATCACGGCATACCGGCGTCCAAGCGTGTGTCGCCCGCCCACTCATTGTCCGCCTGGCCGTTTTTGACCTTTTTGTCTCTTTTTAGCTGGGATGTGCTAGTGGGAGGCCTGGTGGACCGACAGCCCTCAATGCAGCGGTTCTGGCTGCCACCATCCTGGCTTCGCGTTTGCAGACTGCGGAGGAGGATGGGATGCGCAAGGCCAGAGTGTGAGAGTGAGAGAGGGGGTGCGTTGGAAGGTCTTCGCTTTCATGAGCTTCGCCATGGAGGCCGCTCTTTGGGCGCTTCTGTTTTGGTTTTTCTAAATACATGTTCTTTCTGAAGCTTGCTCCCAGGTCTTCGCACTGCCTCGGGCACGGTTTCCAGCCCAGGCGGGCTGGCCATGCGCACGGGAATGCGCCCAATGGCTTGGAACTTGGTCGCCCATTCTCATGCTTGAGCCAGTCCCAAGCAGCCGTCGGGTAACATTGGTATTTTGTTTAGCATCACTTATGCAGTTTTTGTTTTTGTTGCTGTTGTTGCTGTTGTTGCTGTTGTTGCTGTTGTTGCTGTTGTTGCTGTTGCTGTTGCTGCTGCTGCTGTTGTTGTTGTTGTTGTTGTTGTTGTTGTTGTTGTTGTTGTTGTTGTTGTTGTTGTTGTTGTTGTTGTTGTTGTTGTTGTTGTTGTTGTTGTTGTTGTTGTTGTTGTTGTTGTTGTTGTTGTTGTTGTTGTTGTTGTTGTTGTTGTTGTTGTTGTTGTTGTTGTTTTTTGTTGTTTGTTGTTGTTGTTGTTGTTGTTGTTGTTGTTGTTGTTGTTGTTGTTGTTGTTGTTGTTGTTGTTGGTTGTTGTTAAAACCCTCCTGGCCCCGTGCCTAAATTGGGAAGCAGTTCTGAGGTCCGTGTTTGTGTTGCTTACAAGGTTCCATTGATTGCCATTTGGCTCAAGACACAAGTGAGGTTCAAGATCTTATGTGTAGCTGCGTTCATACGTGATCGGCAATTGAGAGCGGAAAACACTTCGCTTGCGCTGCATTTGTCAGGACCACTGTTGTAACTATTATTCCTTCTCCCTTACAACAGTTGCACGGGTTCGGCTATAACGGTTTGACCGTATACACCTTTCTACGTGGTTGGCATTTACAGCTGGAGGGTTCGGTGGACAGCGTCCCACGGGACGTCACCTTGCCGTCTCTTGACAGGTTGTCAGCCGTAACGACAAGCTCTACACTGGACAGAGAGACAGCTGGTTTATTGCGGGTACAGGGACAATAAAGGGACAATAACCTACACGGTACAATGGCATCTTCAGCGAGCCCAAGTACTGCAACTTTTGGGAACGGCAGCTCAGAGGGATCCAATGGATTGATGGCTCTTCCTGCGGTGATGGATTTGGTCGCAGATTCACAGGATGAACCTGGGAGCGGAGGATCCGCGCTATTCAGCGACATATCCACTCCTACAAGATCATGGAAGCAGATCGATGTTTGTCAGGAGTCGAAGCAAAGAGAATCCCCGCCGAGAAGATCATCATCTTCGCCTGCGACACCACGGACGTCGCAGAAGGGCGTGAGGTCAACATCAAAAGGTGGGAGGTCTAAATCACCCACCAGTGCAGAGTTTCGCGCCGCGATTAAAGAAAAGAAGGAGATGGTCAAAGTCTAAAATCACAGTTGGAGCACGCACTCGTCAAACGCCCCGAGACGTACTCTATGGAGGACTCCAGGGAACAGCTGATAGCGAGACTGAACGACGTTACAATATTCGCGGAACAAGAATCGAAGAGAGCAGAGTGCTTACTTCGCGAGAAGGAAGAGATCGTCAAACAGTACGAATCTGACGTGTTGAAGAAGGACCAGATGATTGCTATCGAGGGTCGTCATCGTCAAGATGCGATCTTGGAGTTAGCCCAGGTCAAAGAAGCAAAACAAGAAGAGCGGTGCACGATGGACGAGAAGTCGAAGGAGGCCGAGTACTGGAGATTGACAGCTAAAGGAGTGTATGATGAGTACCTCGAGGAGATGCATGAACTTCAGGGACAACTGAAGGATCGGGAGGCGACGCTCAAGCAAGAAGAGAGTTTTGTTCGTCAACTCGATGCTGACAATGAGGAACTACGAGCACTCAAGAAGCTGGAGACACAGGAAGCCTCTAGCAGTAAAGATGGACATCGTGAACGAGCAGTAGTGAAACGCGCTGAGGGAGGACCCCAAGCTAATTCGACTAGGGTAGACAAGAGGGTGACTGGGTTATTCCCGTCATCATCATCGAATCTGATCCCTAATTCGTCACTAATGCCAGGTTCGATTCTCTTTCCGTATTTTGGTGATCCAATGATCGATGTACACCTATCCCAGATGCAGGCCCGCTACTACAACTGGTGGTAGTGGTGATGGAGGGGGAAACAACGGTTCTACACCCCCATTGGATTACGGTGGATTCTCGCCCAATGGAAATGGACAAGGGGCAAGTCGACGTCAGTTGAGCCTCACAGGTGGCGGAGGAGGACCTCCGGATGATCCACCCGGTGATGAGGACGAGGATGACGACGATGAAGAGGACGAAGAAGACGAGGAAGAAGATGACAGTCGGACACGGAGGAGGCGCAGAAGATCGAGGGATGATCGAGAAATCAAGAACGAAAGACCGAGGATTTCGAGGAAAGAAGCCGAGAGGGTGTCTATTCCTGCTTGCAAGGCCAAAGATCCGTCAACTCGATAACTGGAAGATGCAACTGCTGATGAATGTTCTGAGCGCATGCGCAGATCCAGATACTGACGCATGGACGAAATGGTTGGAACAGGCTCTTGGGTTAAACCCAGACCTAAATGTGCTGAGCGACTCCGGCGGCGACAGATTTGCTACGATAGATATCAAGATGGCCATGGGCATGCAGAACATGTTGAAACAAGCGCCTGACGAAGCCAAAGACGTGTACCTCGACGCTACGCGACACTCGGAACTACGACATCAACAAGGGGCGATCGTGAAGGGACGAGAGTTGGTGGCATTGGTTATGCAATCATTCAGAACGTCTGATCGAACGGATCTTGTCTACCACATCGAGCACCTATTTAACCTTGACTTTCCTGGAGACAAGAATTTGGTTATATTCAGGAACAAGTGGTATGATTTGTTGCTAAAGATGAGGAGCGAAGACAGACCCAGCAAGTTGGCTCTCAGAGATATTCTCTACAGGAAGATCAAAGGGAGCAAGAAGATGGAGTTCGGCCTCAACGCCTACCATAGATTGCCGGACAAGCATCCTCAAAAGACGTACGAATTCTTGTTGGCATTGATCGACCATCAGATTAAGGCGGATCGGGAGGACCTGATGCTTGACATGAAGGAGAATCGGTCAAGTCGATGATGAAGTCGGGCGGCAGAGATGCAGCCCCGGCCACTGGCAAACAGGAGAACCAGGGTGGCAAAGGCAGGAAGGGGAAACCCAGTGGACCTGATGCTGCTCCTGTACTCCCAAAGGCCAAAGCAAAGGGTCACGCTGGCAAGAACGGCAATCCGACGGTGCCAGCGACAGAGGCAAGAGTCCGGGCGGAGGTAAAGATAACCCATGTTGGTACCACTTCAAGTCAGCGAAGGGATGCGTAAAAGGGAATGAATGCAATTTCTCCCACAGCAAGAAGACGGAGCACAAGCTGGAGAACATGTCCAAAGGGAAAGGAAAAGGTAAGTCCAAATCCAGATCATCGTCACCAAAGAGGGATGATGGGGCATGTTTCGCGTCTCAGAAGGGAAAATGCGACAAGGGGAGTGCTTGCAAGTATAGGCAGGCCAAGTCGAAGGCTGCCGCCAAGGCCGCAGCGCCAGCTATTGCAAGAAGGGCCATCGCAATGCCTGCGATAGTCTTGAAGCAATCGGCTCCTGCGGGAAAGGTCAGCTTCAAGAAGGACGTTGACCAGGTCGAACCGGATGAAGCCGAGACTATCTACCACGAGCACGATGACGACGCAATGAGCGAATCATCAAGATGGTCTGGCGAGTCCGAGATCCCCGAGAAAATGGTATGGTTCAAGGAAGTACTCGAAGTCGACGAGAATGGGGAGATCACCTATCTCGAAGACGAGAGAAGGCAATGGGAACGAAAAGGGGAGTGGTACGGCTATGAGGACAATGAGAATGAGCCTTATCAGTACGTGCACGTCGACGAGAAGAAGTTTAAGAGCAGTGATCATCGAGAATTATCAGCCTATCAAGTCCAACGATCATTGATAAGAGCGAGAATACTGAGAGAGGTGGTAGACGACGTATACAAGAAACACTACTTCCCAGTAACCAAGGAGAGCAGCATAATGTTCGAGTATGATCGGAACAAGGACGAGATCAAAGAAACGGCCGTCGACTGGAAGAAACAGCATGGTTTGCCGAAGAATGTGTTCGCAATGTCAACGTGCATCAGCAAACGGGTGAAGTGGTTGATGGACACCGGATGTGGTCATGATCTCATTGGACGAGCCAAGGCAAAGAGTCTGGGTGTCGATATTGTGAAGGATGATGATGAGATTGTGTTCCAGACCGCAAATGGTTCCACTTGCACATCCGACGTGGCCAAGATAGTCGTGGACGAGTTGGATGAGACTGTCGAGCCGCACGTGTTGGACGAGACACCCACGGTGTTGTCGGTAGGGAGGAGATGCGTGAAAATGGGTTACGCATTTCGCTGGATGCCTGGTAAACTACCTTTCATGGTTACACCAAAGCAGGGATTCGTGCACTTACAAGTCAAGGACGACATCCCATACCTCGTGAGTGATGGTAAACTTCGGAGTAACAGGCATCGCCCTACGGTAGACGACCTCAAGGAGCACTTTTCGGAAGTATTGGCAATGGTAACGAACGATGAGGCAGATCAGGATGGCGACGATGACAACGAGGTCACACCCGCCGCTGTCGGTGAATCCGCAGAGGTCGAGGGCGAGCGCCATGATGGTGCGTTTGACTTCGGACCACCCGGAGGAGCCGGTCCGGTACGTCCGCCTCCCGTAGCTGAGGAAATACCTGTAGACGTTGGGCCAGTCCCATGTCGACATGGTGATGCCGAAGCTAACGAGGAAGAGGTTGATGAGGATGATCCAGATGCTGGAATTGAAGTTGATGTGTACGAAGGATCATCTATAAAGAGGAAAGTGGGAGTCCTCAAGAGGGACGCCAACTCCATTGCTCATTTGCTTACACACAGGTATCGAAACCCTTTCTGCGAATCATGCGTCAAGGCAAAGATGAGACACTTCAGATCACGAACGGGGGCCTTCAAGAGGGAGGTAAAGATGTTCGGGGACCTGGTGACGTTCGACTTTGTGACGGCATCAGGAGATCATGAAGTGGAAGGCAGGTATGCGCTCATTATTCGGGACATATATACCGGAATTATCATGGCT